GGTCACTGGCTTTAAAATCTGGTACTGGACAGCAGTGGGATCAAGTAGCATTGGATAAAAACGCTTCATCGGTCGTAACAGACCATTTTGTTTCCATTAAAATCAGTCATTTCTAAAAGTTTTAATAAATATACGAAGTATGTTTGTTGTTGTTGTAGTAAGTTCATTACAATTTTTTTGTTTTTGTATACTTTTTATGTTTATTAAATGCTTCTTTGTTTTAGATTTCAATTTTCATTTCATAGGAATTTCTTTTCTTTCAAATTGTGTCTTTTTTATATCTGACATTGTTTATGTTTTACCATATTCTTTTCAATAATATACTGAAGATATTAATTCATATTTTCTTCTTTATATCCTTTTTCGTCTCCTTTGTTTTTGCATTTTTTTTCCTCAAATGAATTCCTTTTGCAGTTGCTGGTGCTGTAATTATAATATATTCGTTGTTTTCAATGATTAGGTACTGTATCAACTTTGATTATATTTGAACTTATTTAGAATTGTGGTTGGAAATTTCTCAATTTCATAAATTTGTAAAATGAAATGGAAATACTATGTATACATTAATTTTCATCCTTAAATTTTTAAAGCATTTAATTTAAAATCATATATTAATTGTTCATTGTTTTATTTAGATGAATATTGCTCATTGCATTAACGTTGAAATTTTTGTAAATTAAACGACAAGTTTGTAGACATTAGAGATGCTTGCTTAAATTTTAGTCCATTTTAAATCTCATTTAATATAAAAACAAATATTTTATATTGCTCATTGCGAACAAATGATTTTACAGTCAAATTGGTTAATTTATTGTTTCCACCTTTTTTTTGCATTAATTCGATCTTATCCGGTTTCTCTATGATAATTTGATGTATACAAATTACACTGTATTATTTGGATATCAATAGCGCATCAATAGATGTATGAAACAATTAGATTACGCGCTTATTATCATAAAATTTGTAAATTAAAATTAGGTGGAAGTTACTACTGCTTCCAGCATATTTCTTCATATTCTAATATATTCGAATATCTTCATATTCTAATATATATTATTGTTTGTTAGATATCGGAGAGTCAGTTTAGTTTCAAAAATTTATGCTACCCATAGTATATTATGTCATTTTTAGAGCAATATTTTGTAAGAATTTTATTACCTTTTCTTAAAATGTATACTTAATTAATTTCTGTTACTTTTTTCTAATTATAATTATTTGTTTGATTTTTGTTCTCTTCTATATTTGCTTCAATGGGAATAAAATAACTACACGTGTTCCATTTATTGTTTTAACAAAAATTTGACATTCAAATGAAAGAAAGAAAGTTAAAAATATCAAAGTGATACAATGTTTGATATGGTTTATTTTGAATTTCTCTATTATACGCTTGATGATATTACTCGAAGATGTTCAAAAATTAATTGGCCACCTCTTTTTATTAAATTAAAATCATTTAATAATTAAATCAGTAATTATTGAGATGTAATATTAAAAATAATCAGTGGAAGGAAAACCTAGGCTTACTATATGATTGATTGATTGTATCGTCGCACTGATTTAAAGTTAAACAAAATTGATAATTTTCTGCAACGAAATAATAAGGTTAAAAAGAAAGGGAGAAGAAATGATCAGGTAAATAAATAATCGAAAGAATGATGGGTATGATGGGTAGGAGTTTTAATCTTTGCTCTAATTTGATATAATTAACAAAGTTTGAGTTAATTATTATTTATTACAAATAACTATAAAATAGGAACCAGTTTCTGAAGATGAAAAATAAAATACATATATCATAGCTTTTTTTTGTGCAATCAATTAAATAAATTATTTAACGAATAATTTTTAATAATCATTTTTCAAAATGAGTTAATAAATTTAAATTAAGATATCGCTTACTCATTCGTATCTTTTATAAAATTAATCATATAAAAATTAAAATTTATAATTTCAACATATACTTCATATATTTATATTTATACATATATATATATGTTTCCTCCCATTTCTCGTGTTATTTATAATGCTCGACTCGATATGAGTGATATTTTAAGAAGTTGGAAAATATGTTATTCATTCATTTATGGCATATAACAAAGTTGTCTGAATTGTTACGACTATGAAAGAAAGATATCTGCGAATCTTTCTTACCTTTTACCTTCTTTAATGGGCTAAATAAAGTTTATAGTTAACTGTCATTTATATATAAATATTCTTTTTATCAAATAAATCAATACTGAAAACATTTCTAAATTCTTCAGCAAACTAATTCTCTTTTAGTTTACTGTAATAGTTTTTTAGAAAGTGAATAATAAATATATCCTTGTAATTCTTACGAGAGTATAAACTATATCAAATTTTAGAGATTTCAACAATGATATCATCAGTTCTTGTTTTATACACAGTATTAATTGCACAAGGAGTTCAAGCATGGTGGTATGGAGGTGGTTATGGTTACCATCCTTTTGGTGGTTATGGTGGTTATGGCGGCTATGGTTATGGTGGTTATGGGGGAATGCCATATTATTCGCCTTATCATCATTACGATATGTACCACGCGTAAAATTTATGCTGTTAATAACATATTTCTACCATAAGCTCATTTGATTATATGCTAAGATTGAAATTTTGATCGATTTGAATTTAAATTGTTCAAATATTTTATTTACATAAAAGGAATTTAACGAAATTATTCCATTTATGTTATTTCATTTCTTTATTACTTCCATCTTTTTATTTCCATTTTTTTACCTGTAATATTTGATATCATTATAATAATCATTATTATCAGGTATTCTGCACACAGAGGTGCACAAATCGGTGCCGCGATTGGCACGTTGGCTTCAACTTTTGGTAAAAAGAAATGAATGAAATTATTTGCAATGAAACTCATCTATGATCTGTGTGTCAAAATTTTGTATGATAATTAATTCAATTCAATTCAATGATTTTATGTATAAAAATTTGCATAATTTTTATAAGCTTCATCGACAATGATTCCTTTAAAACAAAGACGAGATTTGATAGGTGATAAATAAAGAAACAAATGGGATAAAAAAATAAGCCAACTATTCCTTTTTCGAAATTCTTTATTTCATTCAAAACTCTTATTATCACACCTATACATTTTGTTCCGAATTCCCAATCCAACTTATATACTAATTGCACGATTTCTATTAATTAAGCTTAATTAGAGTAAGCTTTAATGAATATTAAATTAGAAAATAGAAGGGAAAATTAATTGACGCAGTACTTATCTACTATCTATTAGTTTACCTTTAACTATTATTACCTGCATTTTTTAATCCATTAATTTCAATTATTCGTTTGGAATTTTTTTGATAAGAAAAAATGGTTAGAAAGAAATATTAGCTTCCTTAGGTAATTTTCGAGAACAGAGCGATAAATTTTTATTTCTGAAGTTTTTCGAAATTAAATCACTCAAATGTTTACATGAAAATTAATATATCGCGCTACTTTATAACAATGACAATCAACGGATCTTCTCTTTAATGCTCCATTATCCTTGAATGAAATGATAAAGGCCTTCTTATACCTGACAAATAATACTGTGATCAAACAGGATGCACCAATCAGGAATATTGCAGCACCAAACAGTAGAAGCATATCGAACGATGAAAGACAAACTGGGATAATATGAGATTCCTTCTTTATGGCTAAATTAATGATAATTAATTTAAAAGCAAAAGAGTGGAAAAGGATAATTACAGCTATCGGATTGGGTCCATTAATATTCAACTTCTACCAATAAATCTCCTGCACAAAATGTGTTGCAAATAAAATGACTTGTACCATTTGATATCATTGACACGCGCATTTGTCCATTTCCATCTCACTCTTTCTCTTCCTCATTTTTGTTTGAAAGAATAATTATTCTTTCTCATTTCTCATATTATTTCTTTACAAGAATAGAGAAGTGAATATTGTCCTTTTTTCCGTTTTCTGAATGAACGTTTTCTGCTTTTCTATCTTAGCTATATGTCCTTCATCCTTTAATTCGCTCCTTACGATTAAATTAATGACTTCATCTGTCGCAATGTCAAAGTTAAATTACCTTAATTACTATTTGATAGTGATGCATTTGAAAGGTGAACTTCAACCAATGGTAATACAACAACGCGTGCTGTGAGATCCATTTCAGCAACTTTCATTTCCGAAGCAGATATTTCCGATAGCTTCAAACTGTCGTTAGAGTGAATTCTCTTTGAGCTCGTACTTTGTTCTGAAGTTCTGAAGAAACTAAATAATTCATACAAATTATAATTCATACATAATTCATACAATTCATCATTGAAAATTAAACGTTGCAGAAATTTTGCAGAAAGAAAACTTCTTTTATGTAATCTTATATATAGTTTCCAAAAATAGAAGTTAATTGGTAGTTGTGCGAGACTGAGCCAGATTCTGGTGGTAGTTGCAGTTGCAGTGGTGGCGATAGCGTGACTTTTTCGGACTTAAAATTAGTCCACAGCTGCTACAGGAACTAATTATCACCATAAATATGATATTGGTAGTTTTGCTACCGTTGTAAATTATTATTATTGGTACCATTGTTAATTATCATCATTGTGATAATATTATTATTATTAATATTATTATTATTGTTATTATTAATAATATATTAATAATATTATTATTGTTATTATTATTAATAACCGCTATTGTTAATATTATTATTGCAACTTTCTGCATACTTAAATAGTTCGAGGTACTTCCAAATGAGAAATTATTGCCTCACATTCCTGAAATTTCTAAGACTATGAAAAACACCATGCTGATGAGAATATGACGGATCGTCGTGATAACTACGACCTGGCGAAGAATATTCGATTGGCAATTGTGTCAAATATTCGACATTTTCACAAATTAGTGGCTGAAAATAAAAATGAAAGAAAAACTTTTCAAATTGTTTCAAATTATGTCAGAAAATGATGAAAAAACAAATTTACTTATTTCTATAATAACAAAAAGAGAATAATTCCCAAAACTTATCTGAGCCTTCTTATCATCTCCCTGTACTTCTCAATCACAATCATATCACATCATCAATTCAATTCTTTTAAGCATCTCATAAATGCATGTTGGAAGAGTAAATTCTCCCTCGATAATTTCTGTTGTTAATTGACTAAATATTATCACAACATTATTGAAATTCACTTTCTTGCCGCGGAACATCTTATTCCTTAAGTGGCGGACAGCCAACTACTGCCAGCTTCTTATATGAAATTCGTTTTAAATTGTGCAATTGTTCCTATCATGTGTTAGCTTATACTTACGCCTAAACTTCCTTACTTTTATAGCTAATAGATTAAGCAGGTAATTTAATAAATTATATAATTTGAATAATTTAAAAGATTATATTACTAAGATAAAAAGAAAAAGATTAAATTAATTATTTAATAATTCAATCTTTCAAAGGCGAATTAAATCTATCTTTGGGAAATCATGCATTGTCTCAACAAGTTAAATATTTACAAANAATAATTTAAAAGATTATATTACTAAGATAAAAAGAAAAAGATTAAATTAATTATTTAATAATTCAATCTTTCAAAGGCGAATTAAATCTATCTTTGGGAAATCATGCATTGTCTCAACAAGTTAAATATTTACAAAACATTCAGTTATTAAATTATAAACAAAAGATTGTTTTCAATAGATTTATAAGTTTGGATTTCATTTAAGAAATTCTTCAATTAAACAAAATCACTTACCTAACACCTATTGTAGCTTCGAGTGCTTTAACCGATTCAGTGAAAAAACATCGAACTCGATATGCTCGATCAACTTCTGTCTCGAAAATCTTAAATTAAACTCTACCATTTATAATGCTTGAGAATTTAAGTGAGGAAAAAAGACAGGCGGAAATGTCGCATTAATAAATCTTTTTAATTTTTAAATTTTCTTCGAAATTTTGATTATTCTGTTCGAATTTTTAGAACTTCAAGAAATACATAAAAATAATAAATAGAAAATTTCAAACTTCGGCAAAACTAAAATGATACCATACCGGATGGAACGATACAATGAGTGTAAATGCGTAAGCAACACCACGTGGATTTAACTGAAATTAACAAATGAATTAATAGCAATTAAATTTTAAAACATGCTAAAATATAATTTAAAGCAAAAAGAATGCCATTAATTATAATTTATAGTTTATTTGATGCCTGAAAAACTTAAAAAAAGAGGTGAAAAAAAGAGCAATTTTGGTGGCAAAAAGAAAATTTTGAATTTTGTAATTTGTAATTTAAAAGAATTTCAAATTTGACACCAACTTTGCAACCAATTATCGCTTTATTATTTGATGCCTTTGATGCCTATCATTGCTTACAAATTAGACTCAAATTAAAAAAGGAATGACAATTTTGACAAATATAACAAATACTATTTTCTACAGTTGTAAATATATTCGATTGAATTATTTTGTAAAAGAGAAAAGTAAATAAATGAGCAAATGATCAATAAGTGGTGAATTTAGATTTTATACTATCCANATGACAATTTTGACAAATATAACAAATACTATTTTCTACAGTTGTAAATATATTCGATTGAATTATTTTGTAAAAGAGAAAAGTAAATAAATGAGCAAATGATCAATAAGTGGTGAATTTAGATTTTATACTATCCAATAGATCAGTTCTCTATCATAGATCAGTTTCTTCTACAGTTTCTGAATTTAGGGCACAAAATTATTACAATGAAGTAGCAATGTTTCATAAGAAAAACAGCTAAATGATACCGTGCGCTGACGTCGCATGTTGCACTCACCAAATTTCAACGAAAATCTTAACTGTTGTTTGCTATTTGTAGACGATCTATCGAGAGCATATAATTGTTGCTCATCTCCATAATATGATGTTACACAATTAGGATCATCACTTTCATCCTTGAAATTAACACTTAATGTTTACTTGACTGATTAAAGAAACAACAGTTGTAGAAGACAGTAGTAACTTTTTCCAATTAATTGTTCAATCTCAGGAATTGTTAATGAGATATTTATATGCTATAATAAAGTTGACAGCTGTTAAAAATTAATAAAAACAATTGAAGAATGCCTTTTGATTACTCATCTATTAAGTTATCTCAGAAAGTATTATCGTTGTATTCATATGCCATGTCAAATAGATTTTGTCAATGATTGGATAGATCAATTAATATCAAATGACTGCAGTGCAGTGAAATCGCAAATCATTGTGGCATACTGCAGTGAAATTGTTAAATTCTAAACTATATAACGGCTTTTTTCATGCCTGATAATTATTATATTCTCATATTACCGAATTACATGTTGCGAACATTAGGCACTTTGAGTGTTTAAGCTTTTTGGATGAAAAATTTTGAAAATTTCGTGTGAACGAACGTTTTTCAGAGCTGAGAAGTTGGCGAAGGCAGCACGTGCTGACACATCAACATTTGGTCGTTCTACTTTCTTCCGCCGAAAACTGAAGGAACGGCGAACGAAATCATTAGCAAAGAATGTAGTCGATGATGTAACCTTTGAGAATACTTGTGATATGGCCTTTCCTACTGATGAATTTAACAATTTCACTGAGGCATCACTGAGGTTTCACTGAGGTCACATTGAGGCATCCACAATTTCAGAGGTCAGCTCAGGAAATGAGAAAAATTACATCTAATAAATAAATCTTAGATTTAAAGCTTATGAAATATGGAAAATGAAAAGCTGAATCTATTAATAGATTAAAACATTTCACGGATCATTCTGGTTAGATTATCCATATCCACCTGCAACTGGAAATTTGAGAATCTTGTTACTTTTAATATTAGCTGAATGTTCAGAAACATATCTGTCGAAGTTGTAGATGGTTACGGAAAATTGTATTTCAGACTTCTACTTTTTGGTCTCTTGGCAGATATTGCTCGACAACGATTGTTGCCAGTTCTGCTCTTTCGTTCTAGGAGGGAAACATCCTTTCGAATCCCAAAAAATTCATAATCAAGACACATCTAGCGAGAATAAATGAACCGGCGTATAACATGAATGATGACAGTTTAATCTTGCGTTTGTCGCACGCATCTCCAATAAATGACTTGAACGCTTCAGTGGATTGCATCACTAGTGGAAGTAATGGTGCCACAAAGAAAACCATCAAAAGTATGGATTCTAATGCTACAGTTATTGAGCACGCGACAGGAATGATGGATATTCGCGGCGGGAGATTGAGTTGTCCGTTTCATTGATCATTCCCGAGGGAGCAATTAGTCAGGGCGTAAGTTTATCTATTTTCAACATATAATCGTACTTTAGACCTTACAAAACAAAACAGTATTTGTATGTCTTCTAGAATATTATTTACAATATTTCAGATTTTTCCGAAAAAATTGTGTTAATAATAATTTCCCATCTTTGGAAAACTCGGTAATTTTTTGATTAATCCGAGATTCCTGAGCAATTTCGCATATTTATTAATTAGGAAAAAACTTT